TTATTTTCTATTAAATTTCTAGCTATCATAGTGGTTAGCTCAGTAAGCTTCTACTTTATGAACTATTAGATAGTAAATTTGTTTTCCACTTTATAATTTTATTGTTGGGACAGGGTAGTGAGGAACAGTTCTGCCACTTGCCACAGAAGTCTTTCCTACGTGAAATACTGTTACTATAAGTTCTGATTCATTAGGCTTTCTCTTGGTCTCTACTTTCCCTCCAGAAATATTTATTGAATAAAAATTATGTGCTAGGGCATTGTACAAGGTACCAGGAGATCCAGTATTGAATGAGCTTTAAAATTCCATGCTCTATGGAGCTTACATTCTAGTTGGGGGAAGATAGGCAATGAGCAAATGAACAACCAAATATATAGTATGTCAGCTGTTGATAAGCGATAGGAAGAAAAGTGATGCCGGGAAGGGGAATAGGAAATTGAGGAATAGGAGTGTGTCATTTTAAATAGGGTGATTAGAGAAGGACTTCATTCCCTTTGTTATGGTCATACCGACCTGAAAGTGAACAGTGGGCGTGGGAGCAGATATCAGGGAAGAGCATCACTGGCAAAGGAAATGGTAGGTGCAAAGCAGTGCTCAAGGAACATCATGGAAGCTGAAGGTTTAAGGGGAGCATAGCAGGGAGTAATGTCAGAGGGGTCTCAGGAAAAGATCACCTGGTCCTTCAGGGCCAGTTAGGGCTTTGGCTTTTACTCTGAATGAGTTGGGAAGCCTTTGGAAGGTTTTGGGTTGAAGTGTGACATAACCTGACTTAAATTTTAAATTCATCAATTCTGGCTGCTCTTTTGAGAACAAATTAAGGAAAAGGGCAGAAGCAGGGATTTTCACGAGGGGGCATGAATAGGTAGGAAATTATTTCAGTAATCCATGGAATGGATAATGGTAGCTTGGATCAGGATAAAAGCAGCAAGAGGTGGTGAGAAGTAATCAGATCCTAGATGTATTTTGAAGGCTGAGCTCAGGATTCTCTGATATATTGGATATGAGGTGTATTGTGCGTGAGAGAAGAGGAGATGAGAGAGGGAAAGAAGGGAAGAGCTCTGAGGACTAAACTCGAATGTACTTCAGTGTTTAGAAGTCTGGAAGATGAGGAAACAACAGGAATGCTGAAAGGAAATGGGCAATGAAATAGGAAATTAAGAGAACATAATATTCTAGAATTTTATTGAAGAGAGCACTTCAAGGAGGAGGGATGATCATCTGTGTGAAAGATGCAGATCATGTAAAATGAGGACTGAGTATTGATGTTGGGGACGGTGGCTTCTGGAGGGTAGGCTACTCTGGAGAAATAAGGGGAGCAGAAGAATGAGAAGGTAATTGGAATGGGTAAGAGGTAATTTGTAAGTTGGGGAAAATTATATTTGTATTCAGATAGGAATGATTCACAACTGAGGGACAAATTGAAGATTCATGAGAGAGGGGACTATTTACTTAAGTGATATCCTTGAGTAGATTGGAGTGAATGGAATCTAGTTGAGGCTCAGCCTTATGATAAAGGAGAAGGGAGAAGAAGATATGGCTGTGGGTATGGGTAAGCAGGTAGATGTGTTGGGAATATGTCTGATTTAATTCTCTGTAAAATAAGCAGGTCATCAGGTGAGAGTGAGGATGGGAGAGTGTTGGAGGTTTCGAGAGGAGAGCATGTAAAATAGTGTCTAGGTCCTTGGGACGTTGCTGTCCCACGATTGGCAGCATTTGCATCACCTTGGAGCCTGTCACAATTGTAGAAACTCAACCCTGCCCCAGTACCACTGGATCAGAATATGCCTTTTTATAAGATCCCCAGTTGATTCGCCCATTCAAGTTTGAAAAGTACTGAACTAGGTAAGTGTAATAAGATTGCTGCTCAACACCATGGGCCCATTTGAGGCTAGTGGTCATTAATTTAGAATGAGTCCAGTCAGGATGGTCAGCTGGGCAGCTGGTTGTGAAGAGTAGGCATATCTGAATTAACTAGGGTTGGAGTTTTATTAGGTGATTTTGATAAAGGGAGATGGGCAGGAGAATTGAGGAGATGCACAAGGAAGTAATTATAATGTGGGAGCATGGAGAAGGAGAGTGAAAACGGGAAGGGTGCAGAGACAGTGACAAAGTGGTAGCATCATGCCTTGTAGATCCTATTGAGGTAGAAGAGTTGTTGGTGTTGGGTGACAGAGAGAATGAGCTGGAATGATATGAGGTCGCTCTGGGAGGGAGCTGCTTGACATGATGTTCTTATGCAGATACTGCACATTTTTCTCTGGATAAGCTCTGATTATGATTTTAAAGAAAAAGGTTTTCTCTCAAAATTCAAGAAAATGAATCATAGTTAATAGCTGGAGGGCCTAATCAAGGAAATGAATTTATAATCTGAATTAAATAAGCACTCATCCATTTTGCCATTTACTTTTTTAGGAGTTACTATGAAGCCAATGATGTTACATCAGCTATTAACATAATTGAAGAAGCTTTCTCAAAACACCAGGGCCTAGTCTCCATGGAAGATGTTAACATAGCAGCTGAACTATACATTTCTAACAAACAATATGACAAAGCTTTGGAGGTATGTGTTTCTCTCTTAGGTTTTAAACACAAATCTGTGTTCTAGAAATGCTTACAAATTGACAATTCCTCATTTTATTTGTAAATATTAAATTACTTATGTACTAAATTATATATTGAACATTTATATATTAAAGTCTGCATGGAAACATTTCTAGATTCTATCGTAATTCCATTTGAAATATAAAATGTAGTTATCACATGATAAAAGCTATCACCATTATCACAGGCGCCAGACATGTCTGTACTTCAGGGTAGCAGGACTCAGCAGCCAGACGAATTACTACGATTAAATTCTTAATCTGTCAGGAAAGGTAGATTGGTTTGATTAAGCATTAGTTAATATGACATAAAAATGTTAATATACACAGTGCTTCCTTATTTTAAAGAGACTTACTATTGCTTTTTGTAGCCCATTTATATGTTGTAAGGAATATTTGAATTAACTATAGAAATCTTGGCATTATGAGAAGGTTTTTCACACATACCTATTGTATTATTTTCTTTTTTCCCTCCATTCTTTTAGGCAATTACAGATTTTTCTGGAATCGTGCTAGAAAAAAGAACTACAGAAGAAGGCACTTTGGAAGACAATAAAGGTTGTAGTTTCTTCTGCATAGGAAAGTGCATATAATCCTCTTTTCATAATGTAGCATTTTGAAATTGATAATTAATCTTTTCATAACAAGTTTTCCCAAGGAGCATTTTTTCCTAAGAGACATGTTACATCATTTTGTAATCTTTAAAAAAAAAATTGTTTTCAGTCCCCTTTATTTCTCAATATGTCCATTTGAAATGGCATTTCTCACTGACCCAGGGTCTTTTTAGTGCTATGTGAAAAAAGAATGCATTACTGAATATCGTATCAAAGCAATTTACTTTTCAAAAAGGGCTTAAAATGCTCTCTACTAATTTACTTCAAACTTATGGATTGAAAAAATTCTACTTCAAACTTAAGCATGCACATAAAATGGTACTTCAAGCTGTAGCACAGTATTATTTTATTTCTTTTCAGCCTCTGTGTAATGAAGAGTGTAAGAGGCTTGAATTCAAGAAGAAAAAAGAGAGTTTGTCATTTTTGTCTTTTTAGTTCTTTGTAGTTTTGATAGAAAGTGTGGGAATTTATGTAGGTTTTGGATAAGTGGATAAGGTATTAGGAAAGAATATGAAGGATAATTGCTACCAAAGGACAGACTGACAGAAATATAAGTACCTAGTACTAGAGGTGGCCAAATTAGAATTGACTATGGAATCATTTCCTTTGAATTAAGTAAATGAGATCTTACATAGAAGATAATTTGCTCCATTTGCCCCACATTCCAAGCTTGCATATAGGAACTTCTGTTTGTCTGTCTGTTAATGCACAGTTGGGGAGAATGTTACCTGCACTATACCTGATGGAGTGCCGATTGACATCACAGTGAAGCTGATGGTCTGCCTTGTACATCTCAACATCCTCGAACCACTTAATGTAAGCAACATTAAGATCTGTACTTGAGATACTTTAGAACAAATCCACAATTTTTTCTTTAGATGACAAGAAGTTGACCCCAGATTTCACATTTCTTAATAACCAGGAAGTCACCATAAGCATCTTTGTGTGAAATGTCTTATAAAAGGCATGAAATACTTGGTTTTTCTTTTAAAATTAGAAGAACCCAGGGATCAGAATTTGAGATTGGGCTTTTAGACAATTGGTAATTTCTGACAGCCATTCTCTTTTGCCAATTTCGGACTGTTTCACTGAATAAAAAAAATAGAGCATCTGCTTTGCAGACATTAGGATAAGGTATTAAATAAAATATACAAATCCCTACCTTCTTGGATCTTTTGTCCTAATGTGATTAGATAGATAATAAACAAAATATGTATGTAAAATATAGGATGTTCGTTGGTGATAAATGCCCTGGAGAAAAAGCAAACAAGGAAGAAGAGGGAATATTGGGAATGGGCGGAATTGCAGTTTTAAATAGGGTGGTAAGGAAAGCCCTCCCTGAAAATGGGGCATTTGATTGATGACTTGAAGGGAGTAAGCCGTGCTAATATGTGAGGGGAGAGCTTCCGGAAACTGCAAACACAGAGGCCCTGAGACATGGTATATTTGACTTGTTAGAGAGCACAGAAGATCAGTGTTGTCTTAGCTTCCGCCATGCCAGCCTTATAACAGGGCTTCAAAAATAATGTGTTGAATGAGTGAATAATGGCAGTATGAGTTCTTTTAATAGATACAGAAAAATGATTATTTAAAGCCGTTTTTATTAAGCCTTGCTCTTTAGGTTTTACCAGATAACTGGCATATATGTTAAAAAGAGAAATAGATACCGATGTCCATGTTTGTAATAAATGTGTGACTTCAGGCTTTAATTTTGCCATCTAGCCTCTCTTGACAACGCTAGTGGAACAGAATCCTGAAGATATGGGAGACCTCTATTTAGATGTTGCTGAAGCTTTTCTGGATGTTGGTGAATATCATTCTGCACTTCCTCTCCTTAGCGCACTAGTCTGCTCTGAAAGATACAACCTCGCAGTAGTTTGGCTTCGACATGCAGGTAATACTTTTTTGTGGGAGGGAGAAGTTTTAATCATTTATTAGGAGACAAGAACTTAGTTTTACAACACAGTAATCATTATTATAAAATATTAATGTCTTAGAGAAAGTATTTCTGGTTTCAGGGTACTTTTTTGAAGTTCAGTATTTTTAATTGGTGTGTCTCTAAATGATTTCTCCCTCACTTCTCAGAATTTATCCCAAGGAAATAATTGAATGAGGGGAGGGGAGAGAGTTTATATTGGGGATCACAAAACTCAGGAGCCTGGCAGGTAACAAAAATGAGTCAAGTGGGCAAGTGAGAGGACTGGGAGGGTGAGAACTGGAGAGCTCAGTCTGAAGAATGCTGCTGTTTCTCACATGTTGATGTGCCATGTGGCCATGGGGGACCCACTGTTGCCAAATGCAGATTTTTCAAAAGAATCCAGTAATTTGGATTTTATAAAATCCTAATTTTAGAAAATATAGATAATTAATTGTTTTTAACAGCACTGTGGCCAAACAAAACACATCTGTGGGTTAAATTGGTCTTCCAGTTTGTGAACTCTGGCTTAGATTTAGATACATGAATATGTTTACTGCAGTGTTATTTGAGTAAAAATTTAGAAATAACCTAAATGTCAAATAATAAGTTTAAGTAAATAATTTAATTGGATATTATAACCATTCAAAATGCCAATGAAGACATGGAAAAATCTTAAAAGCATAATACTAAGTGAATAAAGCAGAACCTCAAATTGTATTAATATGCTGATTACATTCTTATAGCAATTTGAATTTAGTTAGGGGATTCAATAGAAAGATCAATCAATAGATGGAAATTAGTACCGACAGTTGTTACAAAGTACTGGAAATATGCATACATTTATTTCTTGTTATAATTCTTTGGATATTGCTGTAATATTTCTGTAAAAATTGGAGAAATAATTTTGGCAAGTGTACACATCTGTTGTTCATATTTGTATACTTTATTTTACCATCTTAGACTGTTTAAAGGCCTTAGGCTACATGGAGCGTGCTGCTGAAAGCTATGGGAAAGTGGTTGATCTGGCCCCGCTCCATCTGGATGCAAGAATTTCACTTTCCACCCTTCAGCAGCAGCTGGGCCGACCTGAGAAAGCTCTGGAAGCTCTGGAACCCATGTATGATCCAGACACCTTAGCACAGGATGCAAATGCGGCACAGCAGGTAGGCCATGGAGCTGAGAAGGAAGTTTCTCTGGGTGGATTATATTTTAGAACTTTCTCTTCAGTTAAGGATGTCTCTACAGCTTGTATCCAGAAGTTTTATTTTAGTGTATTAAATTCGGTGTTTTTGAAAAATGATTTTGAGTCTTAAGTTTCAGCCACTCATTAGACATCATAAATTATAGTTTCTAGAAGATTGGATCTTATAGTGAACGATCATAAAACAGATGTTCTTAAGCTTTGGTTTTTAAGCTAAAACTTTTCTGTTGAAATAAACAACTTAACAGTAAAGGAATCTTGTCACACTGATTATTATGTGCTTATTTATTTAGGAGCTAAAGTTACTGCTTCATCGTTCTACTCTACTGTTTTCACAAGGCAAAACGTATGGTTATGTGGATGCCCTACTTACCATGTTAGCCATGCTTTTAAAGGTGGGTAATGATCTTTCTTCCTGTTAGCCTCGTTGCTTTTTAATGTTTAGAATTTAATTTAAACACAGATTATAGCTCTTTTTAGCTCTGTTTTACTCTATTAAACTCAAACTTTTTAAAGTGAATGTCAGATACAGACAAAAGGCTTAGAGAATAATGGTATGTAATTGAAAGTCTACATGAAAGTATATAAATGTGACTGTAGATGAAGTGAAATAAAATCCTTGATAGTACAGACTTAGAAAAGTGAGAACCATAGTTTTATCAGTTATTGGCCCTGCAGACCCTGCTATGTGCCAAAGTTTTTCACTTTGCAAAAATGTTTTCCAGATTATGACATCCTTTCCCAGTGTAGCTTTTCTGCAGGGAGGTGGTTGTGTATTTGTGTGTGTACATGTTATAAATGGATGTGAACTGCCTTCTGTGTGAGTAGTGTAACGCAGATTCCTTTGTTAAGAAAAAAATTCAATCTTTTTTATATGTTCATATACACAGTAATTTCGTCTCTTTTTTCCTTACTTAAGAAGCTTTCAGGCACAACTGTGGTACTTGTGGCCCATAGATTTTCTTTAAAGAATTATATGACTAAAAAAACCTCAATTTATCTTTAATATAGGTAGCAATGAATAGAGCCCAGGTCTGTTTGATATCCAGTTCCAAATCTGGAGAGAGGCATCTCTACCTTATTAAAGTGTCAAGAGACAAAATATCAGACAACAATGACCAAGAGACAGCAAATTGTGATGCAAAAGGTAACTGCTTTCATTTGCTTTATTACATCAAACTTGGCTGAGTTGGAAAAAAGACTGATGAAGTAATTAATACCTGACAGTAGTCTAATTGAAACTATACCCTTTTCAAGTAAAATGAAATTTTCTAATCTAACTCCTTCGAGTATAATAAACTTAGTTGATATTAAAAAAAAGAAAAGAAAAGAAAGACCATATGTAAATGATTTTTAAAAATTAAAAGGAAAACACCTGCTGGATCTTTTTGTGAAAAAAAATTTTTTAATTTTTACTTTAAGAAGAAATTATATCTTATTTTAAGAAATTTGTGAAGATTAGATGACAGTACAGATTACTATATTTGTCCAGTCACTTCAATTATGTATATTGCATTCCCTGTTCAATTCATTTTTGACAAATGTAGCAATAGTCATAGAAACTGAAAATAAGTTGCTTTGATCCAGTCTCAAGTAATATGACTTTAAAAGCCATCTATTGTTAGCTGGCAAAGCATCAAATGTGCTTAGGTAAGATTATTAGAGAACTTTGGAAAAGACTTGGTTATAAACTAGAGATTATCAATCTGGTAGAAAATTATTTCATTTTTAATTCAAGAGACATTTATTAAATCATTGCTACAGGCATGGCAGTGTGCAATGGACAGGGTTTTAGAATGCAGAAGAGCCGAATCTCTATTAGCGTGATATAAGGATGTAAGATAGGCAAGGCGTTGTGTGGGAAGAGTCAGGAAAGGAGTGAAGGCGTAGCTGCTCATAATCCAGCTCAGAGCCCTGCGCTTTCTCCAGTTCACTGACTCTGAGCTCATCCCAGCGGCCTCTGCATCTCCAGCTTGTACTTGGACTATGTTTCCTGAAATTATAGTTATCTCTATATCTGATCCTGTCTGTTTTCTTTTCAGTATTTCCTCATTTTAGCTCCATTGCTGATTTTTCCTAGGCTCATAAGGTGTTTGTTGTTTTGCTTTGTTAGTTAATTTCACTGCGGTGAGGATCACATTATACCAGGACAGGCTGAGCTAGGCATCTTTAATGTTTCATACATCTTTGTTCTCTGATTTTTTTCACTTAACATTTTCTCATGTTGCTCTGTTCTGTTGATAGCTATTATATTTAAGGAATGTGTAATATTGGATAGCAGTTCCATAATTTATTTAATCATTAAATAAATCATAATTTATCTAATCATTATTTTTCTATATATGGTTGCTTCCAGTAAATTTCTTTTATAAATAATACTGTTGTGAGCATCTTCAAGCCTGTAGTTTTATCCATATTTTTGACTAGTTGTTTAGAAAAGATTCCCAGAAGGAGAATTCTAGGTCAAAGATTAAAACATTTTTATGGTTTTTGATACTTCTCAAGGGCTATAAGAGGGAGGCTTCTTACAGACAAATAAAGAAGAGAAGACTTTGGAAGGAAAAGAGAAATTTTGAGGCAGAGAAAAGAAAATTAAGTTTACAGAAAAGGACAAGAACAATGTGAATCTCAAAGTATGAATTTGAAGTCTTCTGCTGAGCAAACGTTTGAATGCCTCATATGTGCAGAATCCATGCCTGACCTCAGTCATGGAAAGCACACTCGTTCTGCCCTGAGGACCACATATCCCAGCTATCACTGAGAAACACAAATGAGGTAGCTGGACCTTCTAGAGAACAAACCAGCAGTGAGAGTCACCTGGGATTGCAGGTTGTTAGGCAGGCAGAGCAGAGGTGGTGGTGTTGAAGGAGTGTAAACAGCCAACTTACTACCCCCTTCTCGTCATTGTTAGAAGAGTGTTATTAGGACCATAGTTATTAAATTTAACCTTAAAATCAATCAAGTGAATATTTCATTCTAATACTGCTATTTCTAGAAGTATAGTATCCTAACTGACTTTCATTGGTCTCATTTTAGCAATATTTGCTGTACTCACGAGTGTCTTGACGAAAGATGACTGGTGGAACCTTCTGCTGAAGGCCGTATACTCTTTATGTGACCTCTCCCGATTTGAGGAGGCTGAGTTACTTGTAGATTCTTCATTGGAATATTATTCATTTTATGATGACAGACAAAAACGCAAAGAACTAGAATATTTTGGTCTGTCTGCTGCAATTCTGGACAAAAATTTCAGAAAGGCATACAACTATATCAGGTGATTTTCCAATAACTTATTTTAATTAGATTCTCTGATAGAGTATGTATATTTACTTTTACTTTGTCTCTCTTGCTTAAAAATTAATAAAGTGTTTTACTTTAGCTCTCCTATTACTTGCTGGTTAATTCAGTTCATTGGTGATTCTCAGAGGTAATATATGAGAGCATACACTCTTACCGTGTTTCCCCAAAAATAAGACCGGGTCTTATATTAATTTTTGCTCCAACAGTCTACATTTATTCATTTATTCATGTACAAAAATCTACGTTTATTCAAACAGTCATGTCTGGCTGATGATCTTAACTGGGGCTTATGTTTGGGGTAGGGCTTATATTACAAGCATCCTGAAAAATCATGCTAGGGTTTATTTTCCAGTTAGGTCTTATTTTCAGGGAAACATGATATATACTTAACTCCTTGTGCTTCAATCTCCCCATTGATAAAATGGACATCATGATACTACTGTCTTATAGGATTATTGTGAGGGCTGAATGAGTTAGTATATATAAATCTTTTTAACAGTGCCTGGCACACATTATTATTGTTCAGCCTTCATTGTACTGCAGCTATAGTGGGCAGGGAGAAAAGGTGAAATTTAAACCACTTGATTCTGTTTTTTGGTCTAAATGTTTTGTTGAAAAGTAGAAACAAGATGTAGAAATACTAGCTAAGCAACATTTTCCGGGAAAAACCTTTCACTGTGTGATTGGTTTTGCTTAAAAAAAGGAAGAAACAATCTGTTCTTCCCTGGTGGGGGATGGTGCATTTCAATGTTGATAGGACAGCACTGAAGGGTTTCATTCTTAGAAATCAGGAAGGTTTTCTTTTTATATTATTTTTTTACCCCCACCCTCTTTCTGCAATTTTAGGATAATGGTAATGGAAAATGTCAATAAACCCCAGCTCTGGAACATTTTCAATCAAGTTACCATGCACTCTCAAGATGTACGACATCATCGCTTCTGTCTCCGTTTAATGCTGAAAAATCCAGAGAATCATGCCCTGTGTGTGTTAAACGGACACAATGCATTCGTATCTGGAAGTTTTAAGCATGCCCTTGGTAAGTGTTCTGGCACATGAATTTGTCAAGCAGGAACAGTGTGGTGCTTAAGAGCCTGGCCTCTGGATCGGAAAATGCCTGGGTTCAAACAGCAGCTCCAGCATTGCAAATTATCCTGCCTCCCCCTGCCTCAGTTGCTTTATCTCTGAAATGGAGATAATAATTGGACCTATCCTGGAGATACTGTGAAAATTAAGTGAGTTAATGTAAAGTACTTAAAACAACACTTGGCACATATAGTAAGTGGCTGTGTTAGCAATAATGATAATTATTTTTCTTATGAAACTTTGGTTTCAAAAGGCTGAAGCAGGTCTTATAATTCATTTTAAAGGTCAACCCATTCTCCTTACTTAGGCTTGTTTTTAAGATAATTTTTATTAATTATGGATGCTTTGCTTCCTGATTTTAATTTGCTAATTTGCTCTACAACAAAAGGCTTAAGATTTGCTGATAGTTCATCCCTTTAGGAGAAAAGTCTTTATATCAAGATTTATTTATATAGTGCTTACTAATTCTAATTAAACTCAAGGAAAATTCACTAATCATGTATAACAAAGTTCTGTAATAAGAAATCAAACAAACAAGTAGAGAAATACCTAACCAAATTTTTAAACTTAAAATGAGGCATGTGTCTCCTGCTGTCTAGAAGCTAGTGTTGCCAGGTTCACTTCTTTTGAATAAAAGGTGATTTGGCTATTTTAATACTTTCATATTTCTTTGTGTATGGCTGGTGTTTTTAGAATTGTTCAGCCAGATGTTGAAACATTTGAACATAAGATGTTGAAACTTTCCTCCACTGCATGTGCTTTTTGAAGTTATTAATTTATATTAAAATGTAAAATGGAGATTTATCTTATTTTTCTATATTTACAAACTTACAGGTTAAAATAGAAAGTCCAAATGGCAGTCTACCATCCATGCCGTTAAAGAGATTTTAATTCCTCCTGCAATAGAAGTTGTTATCTATATATGATAAATTATAGATCATTCCTTTATAAGAAAAATTTGTTTAAATTCCCCTATTTCATATGGGTAAGCTTTTGACATGAAATGATTATGTATGTAGATACATGGAATTCACAAAACTCCAAATTCTTATTTTATTATTACATACATATAGCTTTTCTAAGGAAAGACAAAATAGTTGCTACTTTTTTGGGAAATAACCATAATCTGAAAAACAAAACAAAACTATTTTTCTTTTTTTACTTCCATGATCCATTACATTTGAATTATTAACACAGATCAATTAATTTTACAAAAAAATTTAACAAAAGACACATCCCTCCATTGTTTTTTAAATAGATTTAAGATCATAAGATAGATTTATGATCACCATAGATAAATTGCTTATTTTGGAAATATTATTGTACATGAAAATGTCTTGCTGTTCCTAAAAGAATATTACTTTTAGTTGTTCATATTTTATCTTCATGGTCAGGATACATTCATGGGTAAATCCCTCTAATTTTGTTATATGTTATACATTATTTTAAAATTCAAATTTGCATCTGGTTGGTATTTTAGAATGTACACCTTGCATATGTTAAATATCAGTAATGTTTGTTTAGCCTTAAGCTATATTTGAATAAGTGTTGAGGAAATAAGGAACTACGTTTCTGTCACACTATCTGACATTACTGTTCATTTTTCAGGCCAGTATGTACAAGCCTTTCGCTCCCATCCCGATGAACCTCTCTATAGCCTCTGTATAGGCCTGACCTTTATTCACATGGCATCTCAGAAGTATGTATTAAAGAGACATGCTCTTATTGTTCAGGTAATTCATTTGGAGTTCTCATTACTTGATTTTCTTTAAAAATGAATATACTTAATACATTTGTTATACTGCTTCAAAAGTAATACTGGCTTAGTAGACGTGTTGGGAATGCCCAACACCTATCCTTACGTTCAGCACTCATGGACGCGACGCCTAGAGCACTCCTGGCTACGCCTTGTGCAGCCATGTAGAAAGGCAACATAGCCAGATCATAAAGGAAGAAGACTCAGGCGGAATCTGGGGACTTGTGTGCAGGCTTCCTTATACAATGGAACCTCTAAGCCCTCCGGCCCTCTAGGTCCTGAAGATTGATTTATTTTAAATTAGTTTTTAAAAATGTAATAATAGATGCATACAATAATATATGACTATGTGAATGTGTGACCGTTTCTATACATCATCACCAACAAATTGCTCTTTTAAAGTTTTTATGGTCTTATATAGCAATTTGAAATCACCTTTTTGTTTTGTTTACTTTTTTATATAGTTTGTCTCCTCTAATAAGAATATACACTCAAGAGATCAAAGATCTTGTTTAACACTGTATCGTCAACACTTTCGTTTTTATGATTGCAGTTTTTATGTTTGATGCATGTATAGACATGTTTTTTTAAGTAGTTAGAGAAGGAGAGAAAATTTTGGCTTGATTGGGGTAGTAGGACTTAATAAAGGATTTTTTTTTTGTTTTTAAAAAATTTTTAAATTTAAAAAAGGTTAAAAGAACACCTAATTAAAGTGATAATTGTTAAAACTGGGTATTGAGGTTCATTATAATGTTCTTTTTACTTTTATATATTTGAAAATTTCTATATTAAAAAATTTAAAAAACGCCAAAAAAACCCAAACCTGAATTTTTCCTTTTCTTGGGTATTTACTTGTCATATTTTGTCCACATCATCCTCTAAGCTTGTTTTTCTTCCTTAGTGGATACTTTGCTGTATTAAGTAATGTAGGATTGTTTACAAATTAAACAAATATGTATTGAGCATGCACTGTACCATTACTGGGGATATGGCGTTGTGTGAGTACTCAGGCAGAATTCCTTGCCCTCATAAAGCTTATGTTCTGGTAAAAATTGATAGGAAAATTTTATGGAATAACAGGCCTGGTAAGACAAAAATTTATGTATAGCAGGTCCTTGAATAACGTCATTTCATTCAATGTCATTTTGTTATAACACTGCTGAGATGCTGTAGGAACATAACTCACGTTTATGTCAATTAGCTTATGGTAAAATTGGTTTGTTATATGTCATTTTGCTTAAAGTTGCAGAACCTATCAATGACATTGAGGATTCACTGTACTTCAAAGTAATTTGGAAGCTGAATTTCAAATCACTTTCATAGCTAGATAGTTTTTAAATGATTAGCTAGAGCTGAAACAAGAGGTGGTGGGTAGATGGGAATTTGTTGTACTCGTCTCTCTTCTTTTGTGTATGTTAAACATTTTCCATTGAAAAAGCTTTTAACAAGCACGTTTTGTTGGAAATAGCATGATTCTTACATTGTTTTAGTTTTTCATGAATTGATAATATTTCTTCATGCTCCAGGACCATAGTTTTCCTTTGCACTAATTAAAAAAACTAATTTCATATGTTTTACTATCTTTCCTATCTTTGTATCATACTGTAAGAGTAAAATCTTTCATGTTTCTTTACTTCTGCCTTTATTTAACATTATATAAACAGTACATACTTGAGCCCTTTAGTGAGTGATGCTTGAAATGTAACATAGTTAATGTAAAAAGAACTCTTTTCTCTTTTCCATTTCAAGGTTTTTGTTTGTCATTTTTTATAGTTTTATATTTGATGATTCAGTCTAAGACATAAAGTGGATGCCTACATTACCTAGTTTTTTAATCACTGAATATTTGAATAGTAGTTCTTCAATTGTCAGGGAGATTATCCTCCTAAACTTGTTAAAAATTTCTTAAAATGCAGCAGGTAACTCTTTTTATTGTATCAGAAGATGTACAAGTTCATTTTAGTTGCGACAATTCATCTGGTATTACTGTTCCTTCTCAGAGTTCTGTCATTAAATTTGTCATTTTAAAATATGAAGATTTGCCATTTTTCTGAGATTAATAGTTTGTCTTCTATTACTTAACAGAACCATGTTTTTCAGTGGAGTAGAAGTCACATTCACATACATAGATGGGTTCTTTTATTATGCAGAAACATGATTTGTTTCTTGAACATAACTATTTTTGTCCCTAAAATGCATTAATTCTAAAGAATTCATTAAATTTTATTTATTTACTTATGAAGGAACAGTTGTGGCCATTTATTGTATAGCGGATCACCAGGAAATAATTGTATTTTAAATTCTATACTCACACATTAGTGGATTTACTCTTAATTCTTAGTAATATGTTTACATAATTACTTCCTAGGACACTTGCACCTTTGCAGTATGTAACTTTCTGTGGATATAAGTTGCAGCTGCATTCAAAGGGAACATGAAGAAGGCAGGAGGCCGAGGAGCTGTGACACACGGGGAGTCTCCATTATTGTAGTTGTGCTCTGAAAAAATCGGTTTCTTCATAAAGCCTTTGAGTCAAACGTTCAGGGGGAAAAAAAACACACCAAGTTTTTTGGGTTAAGAGGTTATTGAGGTCCTGAGAAGTACATTTACCCAGAAAGGTTAGGTATGCTCAAGTGAGTTAGCTCCTGAGGATGAACCTTTCTAAATTAACATCCTAAGGGCTCAGATTTTATATTCTGCTCAAGCTTTAAGACATGTGTTTCAAACCAGAAAGTTTACTGGCCTCTAATGCCACAAAAGCCAAATTGAAACCATAAAAAATATATCCTGTGTTCTTATAGATTATAGATTTTTGACAGATAGTTATAACATTTGGCTTTGTTTTCTGTGAATATTTCTGTCCTTAGCTTAAAAAAAAAAATCTTCCTTGACACCTTCTGAAGAGCTCTTGACTACACTGTGATATGACACTACAGTATAGACATACATTCTTTTTGGATGGGACTGTCACTTTTTTTAATATTTGTATTCCCAGCACTTGGCACATACTTAGTTCATATTTGTCAAGTGAGTGAAATATTGAATTGTTTATCTTTTTCTTTTTGGTAGGGCTTTTCCTTTCTTAATCGATACCTCACTCTACGTGGGCCTTGCCAGGAATCGTTCTACAATTTGGGCCGTGGCCTTCACCAGCTGGGGCTGACTCATCTCGCAATCCATTATTATCAGAAGGCTTTGGAGCTCCCTCCACTTGTGGTAGAGGTATTGTATGGATTACTTTGAACACTGAGGAGTCACTTCACTTCATTTCATATATACTTGTAGATAAGTGTGGTTAGCTGTTGTGGTCCAGACAGGGAAATAATTTTAGCTTATATATTAAAATGTATGTTTCCCTTATTGAATGTATTCATGTAATGATGTTCAACAACCAGTCAATCTTTGACACCCTGGCTTTATGACTAGATTAGCAACCGCGTAAACATACATGACTTTTGGTTATGACCATTTTAATTATCCTAAGATAGCCCCTGTAGTTTACAGGTATGAGCTGGTAGACATGAAATCTTAGTGTTGAGTGATACAGTCATTGTTCATTTCCAAGTTCAAGTGTAATTAACATATTTTTTTCTAAATATGAAAGACCAGTATTAATGTAGTTTTGTTTGTTTTAAGATAATGTAGTATGGGGTAAAGTTTATTTTAATATCTGAAGAAAAGTGTATGTTTACATTGTTAATTTTTTTAAGGTTACACTCATAATCCCCAGCTTCCTTCACAACTATTTTCTAGTACCCTTGTTTAACTTTAGTTGTTAAGCAAATGAATATATACTTTTATAGTTACTCTAGTGAAATATATACACTTTGGTGTTCTTTATTGCATAAATAACCATACGTATTGCTCCTTAAGCTTTATAGGTATCATTTTTTATTGTTACAGATATTTTTTCTGTTAACCCCAAGTTTTGTATTGGGGAAGATTAGAAATACAGATCTAATGTACTCCATTGAGTTCATTGCTTTGTTATTTAAGTAGGAAAAAAGATAATAACACCCCTAAGGTAATCATAATCAATTTGGTGTATGCCCTTCTAGACATAGTCCATAAATGCCTTTCTGTTATATAGTACAGGTATTTTTCCCCCATCTGGTAATTTGTGTTGTAATTTACTTATTCTTTTTTACATTTTTTATGAGGTAATAGCTATTAATCTTTCCTTTTATAGTGTCTATTTTTGCTATTATACTTAGAAGGGCCTTTCCTATCCAAGATTGTTATATTACCCAACTATATATATTTTTTTATGGTTTCATTTTTTAATTCTTAAATCCTTAATTCATCTGGAGTTTATTCTGCTGTAGCATGTGGGTGAGACTTTTTTCCATAACTTATTGGTTAGACCTTTTTAAACATTTGATGGATGATACAGTTGCTATAATGATTAACTGAATAAGCATAATCTGATAAAAATTTAGAATAAAGATAGATGCATAATGTTATAATTTTTTTAGTATAATGAATTTTAATAACTTGAACACTTATACACTTATGATTAAATTGTTTATTTACCATAAAATTGTCCTGGTTGTCAGTTTGAAATATAACTTATTTATGTATTTTTCCCTCTAGGGAATAGAAGTTGATCAGATAGACTTACGAAGAGATATTGCCTACAACTTATCTCTCATCTATCAGAGCAGCGGGAATATTGCAATGGTGCAAAAGCTTTTGTATACATATTGTTCTATATAAGACACCTCAGCCAAGAAAGGAGCGCGGGGTAGCTGTTGTGTGTGGACCAGTATTTTCTGTCTCAGGGCTTATTAACCCCAAAATAGAAATGATAATTTCAGAATTATCTAACTGTGTAGTTCATATTTGATATGTGATAATGATCTTGTGGTAGATTTGCAAAAATTATCATTCCTGTAAGAATTTGTATATTGTTCTGTCATTTCCCTTTAGCATTTTTTAGTAAAATGGTCCCCAAAGCTGAAGTGGACAATAATAACCTTTGAGTTAGCTTGGAGTCAAATCCATTAAATTTTCACTCATATCATTTATTCACCTGTGCATTTAATACTATATATGAAACACCTGCTATGTACCAGGCACTGTGATAGGTGCTAGGAACACAGTAGTATGATAGATGTGACCTCTCACTACAATTCCTTAAATACAGAACTCGAGCATATACTTATTTGTAAGAAATATTTGCTGCATAAGAAATATTTGCTGCATTTCTACATCCATCATTGTTGTCGGTCATTCATTTCTTGGTTCCCTGTTACTATTGCATGGACAGTTTTTCAAATACATAGAAAAAGAGATTGCTTATTAAAGCAAAGACAAACTGGGACTCTTTCCAATGTTAACACAACTATGTAATTCACTTAGCTCCTAACAAAATTATTTAAAATGGTTATGTGGTAGGAAGACAAATAATTGAATTATTTTTTTTACTTTTCATCTATATGTATCTTAGCCATATAGACTATGACCTGGGAGGCTAGACTTAATTCAAAATATCCTGCTCTGAGGCAAATAAAGAAATGCATTGTCAGTGTTTATCAATGGCTTTCTGACAAAAAAAAAAAAGAAAGAAAGAAAAGAGAGGACCACATTCAATAACATGACCTGGAGTCCGTTTCCAGATCACTAAGAATATAGGAAGAATGGGGGAGTTGTATATGTGGAATGCAGTATTGCTCATAAAAAAAACCCATAAAATCCTTTTGCTTATCTCCAAAATCATACGTTCTTGAATCTAAAATAACAATACTTGTTAATATACTATTGGTTTAATAACAGCATTTTAGAGTTTCTTTTCAGGGGAAAATGAATGCTATGTGTGCATATGAGTTGTAAAACCCAGTCCAATGGTGGGAGGGAAGTAGGTATGAGACATAGGATGAAAAAAAATACAATGGTGGCTTTTTAGGAATTCTTACCACCATTTACATTGTATATATAACTTTGTAATTGAGAAACAGAATTTGTATGTAATAAGTATAAATGTATTGTTTCCTCTGTATGTATGTGTGTTTATATATATGTATAGATATAATATAAATAAATTTTATTTTTATAATTAAAGTGAGTTTCACATGCTTATATAATTTTATATCATGCCATTTGCAGGCAATGATAAAGCTAACTGTGATAGAGTAATAAGTGACATTTGTGTCTTGGAATCCTGTGGAATTGAGTATTCTGAGTTCAGAGTTTCTCTCTTCAATTAAACTCATGGGACTGTGACTCCAGTATCTGCTGAACAGCCTTGGAGGAAACAATAAATCTCTCTAGCAGTCTTCTAAGAAAAAAAGTTGATATTGCATGTGTTTGTTTAGCATTTAAAATTATAGCCACCATTTGCTGAGTGTTTGCCATTGCTAAGTACAGTGCCAGATACAGATACGTTAGCTTTGACTCTCAGAGAATCACCTGCAACGTAGGTGTTATTATGGATATTATTATTATTATCTCCATCTTATATATGAGATTAAACAGCATATTCAAGATGACTAGCAAGCTACTCCTTCCTTAGAGATGTTCCTTTAGAGCAGCGGTTCTCAACCTTCCTAATGCTGCGACCCCTTAATACAGTTCCTCATGTGGTGACCCCCAACCATAAAATTATTTTCGTTGCTACTCTATAACTGTAATTTTGCTGCTGTTATGAATCGTAATGTAAATATCTTTCTGTTTTCCGATGGTCTTAGGCGACCCCTGTGAAAGGGTCGTTTGACCGCCAAAGGGTCGTGACCCACAGGTTGAGAACCACTGCTTTAGAGGAACATACTTGCTCCAGTTCAGAGTAACAACACAAAATTGTGCACAAGTTAATTTTAGAAAGATAAAGGAGACTTTCAGCCCTTCAGCCTATTAAAAGCCCCTGTGGGAAATATCTTTTGGGGAGTCTTTTAAAAAGCTGATATTCCTTTCCTTACCTATCCTCACTCCAGCTACGGATGGGATCCTGAAAGCCACTTTATACAACGAGGTTCTTTTCTACGGGTCACTGTCAAGTCAGCAGGGAGTCCGCTCCTGATACAATCTGGGCCAATCAAGAGTTTCCCTCCTCCTCCTCCAGGACATTTAGAATTAGGATGGAGCCTTTTTGTGGGGCTGGGGCTGGAGCTGGAGAGCTATGAGGCCATTTTCTGCTTTCCCTGTTAGCCAACTAGCAGTTAATCCATTGTTTTGAGAAAGAAAAATAAAGCCTATACGTTAAGAGAAGCTGAGATGAGAACTGGAGAGAGCGATCCTTGAGCTCCCAGGGGTTTTCCAGTTTTCCATTCCCATCCTTCCAAAGGCTGCATTCTTACCCTTAGGTTCTTCCTATAAGAAATTCCTGATTCTATAAGTTCCACTTTAAAGTTTACACTAGGTTAAATTTTTCAGTTATTCGCACCAAAAAAAAAAAAATCCTAATTGATCCCCTATCATTCCACCTTCCTTTTCATTTAGGATTGATGCTTTTAAGTTATTTTCACAAGAAGGAAGGGCAAAGCGAATTCTTCCTTTGATTCGCTAAGAGAACTGTATGCTTCCAGCACATTTCTCTTTCATACATATGCTAGCGTGCCGGTTGGGTTCCCCAGGAAGCAAGTGTTGCGGGTACAAAAGGTGCTTTGGTGAGTAACTGAGGAAGAGCCAAGCAGGCTTGAGGAAAGCCTCCGGAATGAGACCCATTGAAGCACATGAGTGGCGGGGGGGCCACTCACAGGGAGCAGACCGAACGCAGGAAGTAGAAAAGTAAAATGTAATTAGTATCCTAAGATGAGAACATACTGTAAATATGAAGAGAAGAGTGCTATAAAAAGGAATATTCAAATAAGAGCTTTACAAAATTAAAAATGTAACTGCCAAAATTGATGACTGCATTGTGGGAACTAGAACATAAAAAAGACCAAATGGAACATTGAAGAGATGAGAACATTTCAGATGAGAAAATGAAAGGTTACAAAACAGTCTAAGTTACAAGTTCTTTGTGGCAGTTACCCTACCTTATAAATTTATACTTCAAGGTGTTTGCTTGATTATCAGTAATTCCAGTGGAAGAACAGACTCCTGCCATGAATTCTTTTTTAAACTGAGCCATCTGCCACCTGTTGGCAGCTCAGCGGCAGCTCAGCCCGGGCTGTGAGTCGAACCGGTGACCCTGTTGCTCAGAGCTCACACTCTTGACCCTATGAATTCTTTATATGCAGTAGATGGCAGTACATTTCTATAAATTTAGAATTGTGCTTCATCAAGTACAGTGACACCAGCTTTTAACATTTTTCAAAAAATTATGCTTAATTTATGGAGGGATTAATTTTTTATTTGGATTAATGTGGGCAAGGCATGATACTGCATTTTCATTCCAGGTGCTCCTCTTATCAGACCAAGGAAGGAGGAGAAATTTTGTTTGTGATGTATTTTTTCCAAATAAGCAAAACAATAAGGGGGCTCAGAAAAGGGTAACAAATGTGGGCCACACGTGCTGCCCCTCAGGGCTATGTGAGCAGAACACTAGCTGCTCCCAAACGCAAGGCAGGTGTCACCCATTTTTTATTTGGCTAGAAAAAAAGCAGTTTGGCAAATCCTCCATGTTGGAGCAATCATATATAAAGAGCTCTGTCCCTTTGCACTGATCTCCACCAGCACTGAAAGGACAGCTGGAGCACTAGTGTATGTTTTGTGCCCATTTTTCGGCCTTGACCACATCATGCGTGAAAAATGTCTAATCCCATCCTGAAGATCATACCCGAAATGTACCCTGTTTGCCGACTCAAGGTAAGTGAGCTAAGATTAGAGTGACAATTAGCAGGACCACTTGGCGTTTTAGTAAAGACAGGTGTTTATATTCAGAAAAGAGAGTTCAAGCAAGTAAAGAAGGGAAGGAGAAAGTCAGATACTTCCGATGCAGCAACCCACAGCTGTGTAAACGTCCATCCTGACAGCCAACTCTAAGGATGCTTCTGCATTCTAAAGTTAGTGTTGAAGATTCTAATTTCAGGTTCTAGTTTCGGAGGGGTTTGAATGCAGCAAAACGAGTGTTTCTTATTTAAGCATACCTACAAACATATAGACAGCTGAAAGAAGTATTTTTCTAATCTCTTGCTTTCCAGTATTCTGCCTTGTTTGGACAGAGATGCTTCTTTAAGTTTGTGCTGTGGGTGAGGCATGATACTGCAACTCCATTACAGATGCTCCTCTCATCTGACCAAAGGAAGAGAAAGGTAGTGACTCTGACCACTAGAGGGAGCAGCACACGCACAGAATTTCCCAGAGGCGGGAAGGCTTCCAGCTGGGAGCAGTCTAATCGCCTCATCAGGCCTCCAGGAAGCTAGCAAATCCTAGCGCCCCGGTGTGCCGTTTTAGCTGTGTGCCTCACCCTGAAAAAGGTTAGAAAACACTACCTTCGACTCATTCTCCAGACACAGAGAACCAGCTTTGGGGTGAGTGAGAAACAATTCTCACTGACTCTGTATTTCTGGGAGAATATGAAAGCCTGAAAATATCCTGGTAACTTCAGCAGTGTTAAGTGGCAGGATGGGTTTTCTTCCCCCTCTCCTTTATCTCTTTTCTCTTCACTTCTCCACTTTCTAGAGGGTCTCTGGTAAGCTTGAGTAAAGAGACGGGTTGCCATGTTGGCTGAAGTTCTGTCAATTAATATTAACAACATGAAGGTCTGTTCGTCTTGATTCATGCAGAAAGACCTGAATTTTTCCTCCCAGAATGCATAGGAATTGCAGGAACTAATTTAGCTGTAACAGGGGGAAAAGAAAAGAACTGTGCAGGTCTCTGTGTGTGGTCAGAATTAGTGGATTGTAGGGTACTGGCATTTTCACACACACTGCCAAGTTGCCCGCCTGCGGCTGTACCAATTGTGTGAGCATGCCGACTTCCCCACACCCACTTCAAATCTGATTTTTTCCCTCCAGTTCACAGGTGGAAAATGGTGTTGTATTTGCATACTATTGGGTTGTTGGAAAAGTCATGACGCATTTTTGCAAAAGAAAAACAAAAAATACATCATGACTTTTCTGACAACCCAATAGTAAGGTTGCAATCTATCTTCTCATGTTTATAAACCTTTTGGATATTTTTTTCTCCTCTGGATTGCTTTAGTCATACCCTTTACCCATTTTTTTTAAGTGGGTCCTATTTTTCTTATTGAATTTTAGGCATTCTTTATTTAATCTGAAATAAATGAAGTCTTTGTCACTTTTTTCACTTTATAATCTTTTTGTAAAACTCACGTTTTGAATGTTGGTTTCATCAAATTTGTCAACTTGTCAATCTCCCTCCCTTCCTCCCCCCTTTTCTGGCCAACATGAAACTTCAAAAGAAAGTTGGGTTGTATTGAGGAATGTTAGGAAGATCCCAGTAGGAGGTAGAGCAGCCCCATCTCCCTCTGGACTGACAGAAAGTAGGGAACACACTTTAGGAGCACTGAAACAGCCTTGGTGGGAAGCTAACAGGTTCTGGAAGCAGAAAGCGGGGTGTTGAGGGAAGAGGCGTCTCTAGAAATACGGCTAGACTTCTCAGAAACCGAGGCAGAGGTGGATTTTGAAGCATTTACAAGGCCCACCTTTGAATGCTGTAAG